CGCCCCTGGGGCTGCTTCCTATGGAGCGGCCAGAAAATGCAGCCCCAGGAGACCCGCTGCAGCCAGCCTGCCCTGGGCCAGGACGGCGAGAAGGGGACGGACTGAAGGCCCATAGACCGCACCGATGCCAGCTGGCCAGGATCAGCACACAGGCTCTCCCGGAACCTGCGCCCCAGGATCTGACAAATGATTTCCTGCATTTCCCAGGTGTTTGGAAAACCTCACAGGAGGCTTTGAGGAATCAGATTGTAGAGGCCCTGCCTCGCCCCGCCCCCCGCCCCCCAGTCCTCTGTAAACTCCCTCCCTTCACCTTTCCTTCCCAACCCAGAGACCAAGTTACAGGTGCAGTCCCAGGGCCCTGCCTGAACAGCAAAGACAACACTCCACTCCTGCAGACCACGAGTGAGGACTGTCCCTGTGCTGAGGGAGTGTGACATCACCCTGCCATTGGGGTGCGAGTGACCCACAGAAATCACCCTAACAATGTTGTAACACACACTCACCCCTACCAGCTCGGCCAGGCTCCCTTGAGAAACCCTCTTCAGGGTGGTGCTGGTTACCAAGGTCCTGGCTATTTGATCTGCTTCCCCCAGATTGGGGACTCCTCCCCGCCCCCCCAGCAAGGGCTCTGCACCCAGCTGGGGAAGGCTTCTACTGCACAAGGAACAAGGGTAGGAAGCCAGCAGGGATTAGCACCACCCGTGAAGAAATGGCAGTCACCTCTCTGTTGACCCCCAGACGCAGGATCACGTGGGGCTGGACTCCAGCCCACCCGTCTGCCAGCTCCTTCCAGAGAGAAGCTGGGTCTGGGGCAGGGGGCAGTGGTCCCCAGCTCCTCCCAGGAGGGCATGTGGGTGCAGTTATGCATAAGGAAAGATGGAAGGAAACAAACAGAATGCATCGCTATGGAAACACTCGGCTTTTTCAAAGGCACCGCTAAGAAAAATAATCAAGACTTCAGATTCAACACTACAAGTGTTTATGACCAGAAAAGGCGAAGTGGGCTTTCAATACTCTGCAGCCAAGTAAAAGCTGCCAGAATTCCAGGAAGAAATAGTCCCAGCAGGGCAGGGACCCACCATAGATCAGGACTTGCTCCGAAACCCTCCAACTGGAGCACCCTGCTCACCACGGGGCTCACTTAGCTCTTCCGGGGTCACCATGACCCAACCAGGAGACAGTGCCACTTATGACCAGGTCCAGACAGAGCTCCCATGCACCAGGGCAGGTCAGCGGCTGTAGGGGATGGGTATCCCAAGAAAATGACAGCTGATTAGCTGTGACCTGCCTTTGTTGGGAACCATCAAGGCCACAGATTCATGTTTACTTATATATTTAAGAAAGATTTCTGCTATAGGGTGTGTGACTTGCCGGAGAGACAGCGAGAGAAAGTGAGAAATCCTCCCAAGGAGGATGACCATGCTGCAATCCATTCTCCAGTCTCTCAAAATCTTGGGCACACACACACACATGTGCCTGGCCTGAGTTTCAAACCATGGTTGGTCATGTGGGAGTCTAGTGCCTTGACCATGATGCCACCTGCTGCCCCCTCCCATGTGCTCTTTTTTTTTTTTTTTTTGAGAGGTTTTTGCTATAGGGCGCATGCGCTCGCCAGAGAGACAGAGAGACATAGAGACAGAAAGAGAGAAATCACCCCCCAGAGGGGATGGTCACGCTGCAATCCCTTCTCCTCCATTCTCTCGGGATCTTGGGCACGCACGCACACGCGCCCTGTGTGAGTTCTAAGCCACCGGGTCCGGGATGCGAACCACGGTCGCCTATGTGGGAATCCAGCAACATAGCCATTACGCTAACTGCTGGTCCCCCCCCCCATGTGCTCTTGATGTTAACACTAGAGAAAAACCTGATGCTGAGTGTCATGCTGCTCAGACCTGCACTTTGAGGCAAGTTGCCTGTGGTCAAGACAGGCTCAGTGTGGGTCGCCGTGCGTTACTTTGGGCTCTCTGCTGCTGGCCGGTGGTGCTGGGAAGCATGGGCAGACGGCTAGCGCTGAGTTTGGGCATCGTTCAGCACCTTCAGGCACTCACAGGTGAGAACAGAGACGGGGCCACGGAGGAAGAACTCACGTACCCCCGCGTGTTTCTAGCTGTCTGGACAGGGCCAGGAAGCGCGTGGCAGGAAGGCTGGCTGAGAATCTGTCACTCGTCGGAAACTGGAAGCACCATAAGCGAGCGCCCCAGTCACATGGCCACCGCCAGTGCATCCAGCAGCATGGCTTCTAACAGGAGGTGCGGCGCTGATTAAGGAGAGCTGGGACGCAGGTGCAGGCCCGCGGCCAGCCAGCCAGCTCTCGGGGAGCAACCCAAGGCTCTGGCTTCCAGAGGGCCCGGTTCAGACAGTTTTTAGCATGCGGGGCAGGGGCCAGCCTGCTGTTTCAGGTCTGCTCGGCCCCTACCAGTCCTGCGGAATGACTTCGCCTCTTGTAGACTCAGTTTCCCAGGCTCCACAGCGGGAAAAGTCTTTCTCACAGCTATGGGGAGGATGAGGGTGTTTGTCCTAGTGCCTGGCAAGCTGCGTGTGGAAGCTCAACAAAAGGGCAGCGAAAAAAACAAAACCTGTTTTTCTTCATGCTACAGCTGTCTGTGCTTCCTCTGCTCTACAGGTAGCACTCGCAGACACAGCTCCCCCGAATCCCCTGTGAGGACCTACCGCCAGTAAAACGCAGCGGCGGTGGGTGAGGACACCGAATGCCCGTCCATTCCGAAGCCCCACGGTTTTACCCTAGGGCAAGGGCCTACTTGACATTTCAGAAGAGACGTGGGGAAAAGGCAGTCCTGGCACACGGGGTCTACAGCCACGCCAAGAAACGAAACCCGAGATGTGCTGCTGTCGGCCCGAGAGCCCAGTACAGTGGGAATCTGCTTCCCCGACAGACATGGCTGTGATGAGTGAAGGGATCAAACGCACAGCTGATACCAGGGAGGTCACGACCCTCCATTAGGAGGAAGGGATGCCGGGAGATGGGAGCCATCTGCCCGCTCCTCTCTGGGGTCGTGGGAGACCTTCCCAGGGCCCGCACCAAAGCTGGCTGCCCCACCCTGGCCAGGTGTTTACTTGAACAGAACAGCTAGGAGTTCAGCAGAGGTTTTATTTTATTTTATGGTGATGTGTCTCTTTCAGTGTTATACTCACATTTTATAAAGCATGAGTATTTTTCTCAGAAAAAGGAGCTACAGATTTATCATTTTAATGAGAGAGAGCGAGAGATTCCAGTGCAAGGGGCCGGAGAGCTTGTCAGAGAGCAGAGCGTGGCCAGGACAGCGACACGGCCCAGCCTTGGTACTTTACCGGAATCTGGGGGCCGTCAGCCCTACAGCGTGGAATGGGAGCAGGATGGAACCGAGGAGGGTCTGCGCGTCCCCACAGGCAGCGAGGGGAGCTAGGTCTCTCGCCCTGTTTTCATCCATTTCGGTTTTCTGTCTCGTATCTTGCTTTTCCGTATCTTGGTTTGGAATTAATCTGGCACACGGCGCCTGGGGCGAGAGGTCAAGGAGACACACGCTTTTATGATGCAATCAGGGGCAGCCACGCTGTTGTTTTGGGAACCTCGGTGACATCACAGACTCACCCTCGTGCCTCGGGAACTTGTAAGAAAACACTGAGTCAGAGGAGAGCCTTAGTCATCGGGCTCCCGAAATCTAAGGTGAAGAGAGCTGTTAGGTAATTGAGTCTGTTCCCTGCAGGACGGCTCTGCTGCTCTCTGGCTTGGGTTTAAATGACAAGGAATTCTCCAGGGGAAGCTAATCTATGTGGAACAGCTGTCGTTCGCAGGGCATGTGCTGCTCTTTAGCCTAGATCTCAGCTGCCTGCTTCTCGTGACGTCACCCATCTGTCCTGTTAAGGGAACAGTGTTCTCTTGTATGCAAGCAGTCCGGGGAAACGGGGCACCACAGCATCCTTCCTGCCGGGTCCCAGGAAGGCTGACGGGTGAGGAGACTGTGAAGTGAATGTGCACGGCCACTGCACACAGCCGACACGGCGAGGAGTCAGCAACACAGAGCCCCGTGGAGCCACCTCTGTGTGGGTTTCCGCAGCTGCCTGCCTACGGAAGGCTCCAGAGCCGCTGCATGTACTTGTCTCCACTCTGCTGAAGTCACAAGGAGCAGACACGGGCGTGTCCCCAGAGGCACGGGTCCACTCCCACTTCTCCCAGTGGGGTGCATAAAGCAACCCAGAAGCACGTCCACAGCAGTTTTTAATTTGCCTAATGATGATGTGCGACTCCGATAGGCGCTTAGTGCTAAGTGCCCCCAGAGCAGACGGAATCACCGACGAGAACTCTGGCTCTTGTTGAATGGGGCTCTGGGCCGGGAAGCGTCCACCACCTTCCACGAGCCACACCACGAGACCAGCCGGGCCCACCTCTGGCAGCGTCTTCTGGGGGCAGGATGCTCAGTGTCAGTGCGGCTTCTCTCTCCAGGATCCCATGTCGCCGGGCGCCCCTCTAGGGTCTGGATAAACTGTCCGAAAGGTCAGGTTTACTCTCGGGCTTCTGGAGTGGTATTCTTTAGGCACTCGATGCTAAATGGAAATATAAACAGTTCCCTGGCATAAATGTACACACAGTTCTACTTCGAAGCGATTGAAGACATTTCTGAGGATACACACATACTCATTGTAGCCCCCTTAAACGAGCGGCATAAGCTCTCCACAGGGCCATGGGGAAAGGTCTCCTGAGACAGGCTTCCCCCCTGGCCCGCGCGGCATTGCCAGCATCCTGGCAGTGAGACAGCCTCATCTTTTCTAATCTTCTAATGGCTCTTCCTGCCATGTTTTTAACCTTGTAAGAAAAGCATGTAAATGGATGAGACCAGAGAGAGACCCGAGACTGCACTCCCGGGCTGTGTCTACATGCGCATGCACTCCTTACAGAGGACCTGGCCTAACACCGGCCTGGCTTAGCTGTGCAGTCCCGCAGGACAGCCATGAGCTACCTGGGGCCATTTATGTTCTGTTCTTTTCTTTTTTTACAGAGTTTCGCTATAGGGCACGTGTGCTCACCGGAGAGACAGAGAGAGACAGAAACTGAGAAATCACTCTCCAGGGGGATGGCCATGCCCCAGTCCCTTCTCCTCTATTCTCTTCTCAGGATTTTGGGCATGCACGCACATGTGCCCAGCACGAGTTTTAAGCTGCTGGGTCTAGGACTCGAACCATGGTCGACCTCATGTGAACCCAGTGCCTTAATCCCTATGCCACCTGCTAGCCCTGAAGCCATTTACATGTCAAGTGAAACTCTGATTCTTCAGCATACTGGCCACATTCTCAGAGGTCAGCAGTCCTGTGTGGCTGGGTGTCGCCACTCTGGGCGGCACAGGCCACAGAGCTGCACGCCGTGCTGCACCGGCCACTGTGGTCGTAACCAGTAACCCTTTCACCTTGGAAACGATGTCACCTTATGGTTGTCACCGCATATTTACCTAGATGTTAATAACCCTCACGTTCTCACCTGCCAGTCAGCCTGTGTAGCTCCTTCCATGATTAACAAGGTCCCGTGGTCCAGGGGGAT